ATGGGGCTCGGAGGCACTGCTCTGCGGTGGCTTCGATCCTTCCTTGAGGGACGGACCCAGAAGGTGTTACTGGGTGACACCTGTTCGGCCCCACAACCGTTGTTGTGTGGAGTCCCACAGGGTTCTATCTTGTCCCCGATGTTATTTAACATCTACATGAAGCCGCTGGGAGAGATCATTCGGAGTTTCGGACTAAGATGCTATCTCTATGCAGATGATGTCCAAATCTGTCACTCCTTCTCACCTGTCACCAAGGAGGCTGTCCAGACCTTGAACCGGTGTTTGGCTGCTGTGTCGGACTGGATGAGAGCTAACAAATTGAAATTGAATCCAGACAAGACAGAGGTCCTACTGGTCAGTCGTAAGGCCGAACAGGGCATAGGGTTACAGCCTGTGTTAGACGGGGTTACACTCCCCCTGAAGACGCAGGTTCGCAGCTTGGGAGTGATCCTGGACTCATCGCTGAGCCTGGAACCCCAGGTCTCAGCGGTGGCCGGGAGAGCTTTCGCACAATTAAAACTTGTGCGCCAGCTGCGCCCGTACCTTGGGAAGTCGATCTGGCCACGGTGGTCCACGCTCTTGTCACATCCCGGTTGGATTACTGCAACGCACTCTACGTGGGGTTGCCTTTGAAGACTGCTCGGAAACTCCAACTAGTCCAGCGAGAAGCAGCCAGATTGCTCACTGGAGCAGCGTACAGGGAGCATACCACCCCCCTGTTGCGTCAGCTCCACTGGCTGCCGATCCAATTCCGAGCACAATTCAAAGTGCTGGTTTTGACCTACAAAACCCTATACGGTTCCGGCCCAGTGTATCTGTCCGAACGGATCTCCCTCTACATCCCACCTTGAAGTTTAAGATCTTCTGGGGAGGCCCTGCTCTCGACCCCGCCAGTGGCACAAGTGAGACTGGCGGGGACGAGGAGCAGGGCCTTCTCAGTGGTGGCCCCCCACCTGTGGAACTCACTCCCCGGGGAGATCAGATCGACGACTTCCCTTCTAGCGTTTAGGAAAAAACTAAAGACCTGGATGTGGGACCAAGCTTTTGGCCATGCTGACAACTGATCAAAGGACCTATCGATAGACAAGGACAATGGAATGGAATGGATATATGGACTCTGATATATGGACTCTGACATGAGATAGTTTTTATGATTTTAATAGGTATTGATGTTTCATTTTAATTGTTGAACTGTTATATTTTGTATTGTTTGTTGTGTGATTTGGGCATCTAATTGTGCCTCCTTTGTAAGCCGCCCTGAGTCCCCCCCGGGGTGAGAAGGGCGGGGTATAAGTAGATGAAATAAATAAATAAATAAAATAGATGAACTATATCCAAACAATGATGGATCTGGACCAAAACTTGACATGAATATTCAATATTCCCAAATGTGAACACTGGCAGAGTTTGGGGAAAATAGACTTTGACATTTGGGAGTTTGGTGGGCATTGACCTGGAGTTTGGGAGTTGTAGTTCACTTACATCCAGAGAGCACTGTGGACTCAAACAATAATGGATCTTGACCAAACTTGGCACGAATATTCAATATTCCCAAATGTGAACACTGGTGGAGTTTGGGGCAAATAGATCTTGACATTTGGGAGTTGTAGTCACTGGGATTAATAGTTCACCTACAATCAAAGAGCATTCTGAACCCACGAACGACAGAATTGGGGCAAACTTCCCACACAGAACCCCCATGGCCAACATAAAATACTTTGGCAACCACTCAGACACCCCCTCGTGACTCCCTCTCCCAGGGTCCCAACCCTAGGTTAAGAAATGCTGCTCTAGTGCAACCCTTGCTCAAACAAGAAAGAGTCCTGCCAGTTTCCAACCATTCTGCAGTTAGTTTGCAGCAGTTGCCTTACCTTATATGATCTCTCCCACTGACTCAAACATCTCTGTCTCTTCTTCGTGTTCAGTCATTTCACTCACCCCCTTTCTCTCCCTCATTACTGTAAAGAGAGTATTAAATATGTCAGAGGCACATGAAGCCCCATGCCCTAATTACTTCTGAATAGGAAGGGACGGAACCAAATTTCTTTCTCATTGGAATCAAACACATCACATTTTTCACTAGAAAAAATACCTTTGCAATTCACGTTAATGAGACTAATATATACAAGCTGTCCCTTAGATACAAACAAAGTTTGTTCTTTAGTTGAATTGAGTCAGAACAGGTATATTTTAAAGATGTAACTCCAGTTACACATTGTAGAAAATATATTTTTCATATATATACTAGCCATCCCCTGCCACACATTGCTGTGACTCACATTGGGGTTCTGTGTGGAAGTTTTGGCCCAATTCTATCGTTGGTGGGGTTCAGAATGCTTTGTGATTGTAGGTGAACTACAAATCCCAGCAACTAGAACTCCCAAATGTCAATATTCTATTTTCCCCAAACTCCACGAGTGTTCAATTTTGGGCATATTGAGTATTTGTGTAGAGTTTGGTCCAAATCCATCATTTTTGAGTCCAGAGTGATCTCTGGATGTAGGTGAACTACAATTCCAAAACCAAAGGACATGGCCCACTAAACCCTTCCAGTATTTTCTGTTGGTCATGGGAGAACTGGGTACCAAGTTTGGTTCAATTCCATCGTTGGTGGGGTTCCGAATGTTCTTTGATTGTAGGTGAACTATAAATCCCAGCAACTACAACTCCCAAATGACAAAATCAATTTTTTTGAGTGAAGGACATACATTGGACTGTTAGGTGTCTTGTGTCCAAATTTGGTGTCATTTCGTCCAGTGGTTTTTGAGTTCTGTTAGTACCACAAATGAACATTACATTTTTATTTATATAGATGTAATGATCTTTTGTGGGATTAGCATACATAACTCAAAAACCACTGGACGAATTGATACCAGATTTGGACACAATACACACATCAAGCCAACAAGTGATCATCACTCATAAAAACACCGAAAAACACAGCAGAAGAGAGTTTATAAGCCAAAAAAATAAAAAATACATTATAACACATGTGCAAAACCAAAACCACACACACACACATATATACAAACACACATATATACACAAATATATACACACATATACACACACAAAACAGATATACACAGACTGTGCAAAACCACATATATATGTAAACACACATACATACACATATATATACACACACAAAACACATATGCACAGACTGGGCCACAGCAACGCGTGGCAAGGGACGGCTAGTGTGTGTGTATACCTTTCCGAATGGATTCTCCCCTATGAACCATCAAGGTTGTTAAGATCTTCTGGAGGGGCCCCTTCTCTCCTGACTTTTAGAAAGCTGGTGAAAACTTGGCTTTGGAATTTAGCATTTGATGAGTGAGTCAGTAACTCTTGACCACACGGACGGATGGTGATAAATTGTGATTTCATTTTGATGACTTGGCCTTATATGTTTGTATTTTAATGTATTTTATGTATTAGTGGATTATGAGATGTGACGTTTTATACTATTGTTTATGAATCTTTTGTTGTGAACCGGCCTGAGTCCCTCTTCGGAGGTTGAGAAAACCGGGTTATAAAAGATATATATATATATATATATATATATATATATATATATAAAATTAACTGGGGACTTAGAAGAATGCAATATTTTCTTCATTATGCCTGGTACTATCAGTGAGATTAAGGTAAACGTTTTCTCCTGACGTTAAGTCTAGTTGTGTCCGACTCTGGGGGTTGGTGCTCATCTCCATTTCTAGGCCAAAGAGCCGGTGTTGTACGTAGACACCTCCAAGGTCATGTGGCCGCCATGAAAGCATGGAGCACCGTTACCTTCCCGCTGGAGCAGTACCTATTGATCTACTCACATTTGCATGTTTTCGAACTGCTAGGTTGGCAGAAACTAGGGCTGACAGCGGGAGCTCACCCCGCTCCCTGGATTCGAACCTTTGACCCGCTGGACCTATTGATCTACTTGCATTTTGCATGTTTTTGAACTGCTAGGTTGGCAGAAGCTGGGCCAAACAGCCCTGGATTCAAACCTGCGACCTTTCAATCAGCAAGTTCAGCAGCTCAGCGGTTTAACCCATTGTGCCACCAGGAGCTCCATATGTCATACATATGTCAACAATATCTGGACTCTATGAATGGGAAACCTCCAAGTCACCCTGTTTTCTGAAGTGTTGCTTAGGTTTTGCAAACTCAGGGCTGTGGTCTCCTTAAAGGTTTCCCCTTGACATTAAGTCCATTTGTGTCCGACTCTGGGGTGTGGTCCTCATCTCCATTTCTAAGCCAAAAAGCTGGCGTTGTCCATAGATGCCGCCAAGGTCATGTGGCCAGCATGACTGCTCGGAGTGCTGTTACCTTCTTGCCAGAGTGGTACCTATTGATCTACTCACATTTGCATATTTTCGAACTGCTAGGTTGGCAGAAGCTAGGGCTGACAGTGGGAGCTCACCCCACTCCCTGGATTCAAACCTGTGACCTTTCGGTCAACAAGTTGTTTAACCCACTGCGCCACCGGGCAGTTTAGTGAGATTAGTTAACAATAACAATTGTGTTACAACTAGTTCCTCTGCTCTTGCAACTTTTCAAAAGTGGCTTCTGCTTTGTATATATCTGCATATTGATTAACAGTGAACCAGATTCAAGAAGGCAGAGATACACTTTCCTTTTTTTTTTAAAAAAAAGGAATAGAAAAGAAAGAGTTTTTTTTAGGATGAGAAAGTACTTAATAGGAATGAAGCAAAGGAAGAAATCAAACCAGCTGCTGACACAGCTGTTTCTTTTCTTGTCTAATTCACTTCAGTCTAAAGGTACCATATGCCGCTTAAAACGGCGGTGGGGAAGATGAAATAATTTAAGAGAATAACAAGAAAATACATGAATTGTCAGCATTCTGTCAGATTTAAAGAATGAAACAGACAGGTGTAGTATTGACATGTTTAGCTTTGTGTTGCGTTAGCAGTTTGAGTGAGAACAACTCCTTGACATGTGCCGAAGTGATTTGAGAACGCGCTTCTCTCTCTCTGTTTCAGACGTCGGAGATGAAGTCGGGAGATCTGCCGGGATCCAGCAGCAGGCTTTGCTGAGAGACAGGAGCCTCGGGTCGGCCATGAAAGACTGCCCCTACTGTGGGAAAACCTTCAGGACGTCACACCACTTAAAGGTTCACTTGAGGATACACACAGGTGACGTCTCCTTTGTTTTCAGGGGGAGAGAGAGCCATTTGCAGGGCACCCTGGCCAAGAAACTCAGCTGTAGACCAAGGCGGGATCTACACTGTCATATAATCCAGATTATCAAAGCAGATAATTCACGTTATCTGCTCTGAACTGGATTATATGATCCTACAAAACTAAATTATCCAGTTCAGTATAGATAATCTGGCGGTATAGATGGGATCTAAGATTGGACTCCCAGTTCACAGGTTGTTTACTTACTTACTTAGGTGATTCCTCGTCGGTTGGGGTTGGCACGCCTTCCACCTGAAGACCGATGTCCTCACATGCAGTTCAAGAATAGGGATTGTCAATGAGGGATTGTCCGAGTAGGATTGCCTTCCAAGATCGGTGTATTGGTGGTGGGTCTGTAGGTGACCATGGAGCCCTATTCTTGACCTGCATGTTCTCCCTTCCATAGTGAGGGCATTGGTTTCCAAGTGGAAGGTGGTCCCGGCCGGCGTTGGCTTGACACACCTTCCTCTTGGCATGTTTCTCTCTTTCACCCTCCATTCGTGCCTCTTCAAGTTCTACAGCACTGGGCCCATGCTCACACTTTATAGAAAAACCAACAACTATGTCACGATGCCAGGGTTCTGCCATATTCAGGTAGAGATGAACTAAACAAACTCCCAGCTTGTGTTAAACAGTTTAATTAAAACAACACTTACTTTCTGGCGGTTTCAATATGTTCCAAAACATAAAACATAAAGATAGCACTCAGCCACAGAAACAAAAACTGATAGCAAACACTGTTGCAGGTTCAAGATAACACCGTAGTCAAAAGGTCCAGTCCAGTGGTCAAATGCCGAGAGTTCAATAAGCAAAGTCCAGGGATCAAGAGTCTATATCTTAGTGAAAAGCCAGTCCAAAGTTTCAAGGTTCCAGGGTTTCAAGGGTTCAAGAGATAGGTCAGGATACCGAAAATCCACAAACCTGGGGGGAAACCAGCAGCGTCTACCACCAAAATAAGACATATACTTTTCTTTCAAAGATCAGACCCAAGGTTCGCTCATTATATCCAGAAACACTCAGCTGCAACTTATCTCTTGCATACCTCCACCCTTAATTGCTTTCACCCATGAACTCTTACTTATAGATTAGTCAACCCTTCCATCAACAACTGCTAGGCCTAACACCACCAACCACCAACAACTGTAGAACAAGATTTATGACAAAATACAATGAAATCCCAAACATTTGTTACACCTGCCTAACAGTATCTCCCTCTTACTTTTCTACCAGTTTGTTCTCCATGGAATATTTTCCTGGTTCTTCATCTTCCCACACAAACTTTCTCTCTCTCCTTTACTCTTTTCTCTCCTCCCTGAGATGGTTGTTGGTGTGACCTTCTCAAAGTCCAGATTTTGATCCATAAGTTAAGACCATCGTTCTAGGTGTGGAAGCAGCCCATATTGTCATTCCCTATCAGAAGTGATTCTCTATATAAATAAAAATGTAATGTTCGTTTGTGGGATTAACATAACTCAAAAACCACTGGATGAATTGACACGGAATTTGGACACACACACACACACACACATAAATATACACAAATATATACACACATATGCATATATATACACACAAAACACATATACACAGAAAGGGGAAAGGAAAGAAGCACAGAAGGAGGGAGAGAAAGAGTGAAAGAAGGAGGAAAGGAGAGAAGGAAGGAAAGAAAGAAAGATAGAGAAGGAAGGAAGGAGAGGAGGAATGAAAGAGAGAAAGAGGGAGGGAAGGAAGGAAAGAGACAAGGAAAGATGGAACCAAAGAGCAAAGGTGTTGTGACTCAGCTTGACTCAGAGTCTGAAGCTGAGCTGTTTGGGCCTGATTTTGGGGGAGGAAAGGGAAGAAGAAGGAAAGAAAGAAGGAAAGAAGGGAAAGGAGAGAAGGAGGAAAGAGAGAAGGAAAAAAAGTGAAAGAAAGAAAGGAAAGAAAGAAGGAAGAAAGAGAGAAAGAGGGAGGGAAGGAAGGAGACAAGGAAGGATGGAACCAAAGAGCAAAGGAAGCAAGGAAAGAAACAGTAGAGAAGGAAGAAAGAAGAAGGGAAAGAAAAGAGGAAGGAAAGAGGGAGGGAAGGAAGAAAGGAGAGAAAGAAAGAAGGTTGAGAAAGAGGGAGGGAAGGAAGGAGGGAATGTCAAGGAAGGATGGAACCAAGAGCCAAGGAAGTGAGAAAAGGAACAGTAGAGAAGGAAGAAAGAAGAAGGGAAAGAAAAAGAGGGAAGGAAGGAAAGAGGGAGGGAAGGAAGGAAGGAGAGAAAGAAAGAAAGAGAGAAAGAGGGAGGGAAGGAAAGACAAGGAAGGATAGAACCAAAGAGTAAAGGAAGTGAGAAAAGGAATAGTTAGAGAAGAAAGAAAGAAGGGAAAGAAAAAGAGGGAAGGAAAGAGGGAGGGAAGGAAGGAAGGAGAGAAAGGAGAGAAAGAGGGAGGGAAGGCAGGAAAGAGACAAGGAAGGATGGAACCAAAGAGTAAAGAAAACGAGAAAAGAAATAGTTAGAGAAGAAAGAAAGAAGAAGGGAAAGAAAAAGAGGGAAGGAAGGAAAGAGGAAAGAAGGAAGGAGAGAAAGAGGGAAGGAAGGAAGGAATGACAAGGAAGGATGGAACCAAGAGCCAAGGAAGTGAGAAAAGGAACAGTAGAGAAGGAAGAAAGAAGAAGGGAAAGAAAAAGAGGGAAGGAAGGAAAGAGGGAGGGAAGGAGGAGAGAGAGAGAAAGAAAGAAAGAGGGAGAGAGGAGAGAGGGGAAGGGAAGGAAGGAAGGAATGACAAGAAGGATGGAACCAAGAGCAAGAAGTGAGAAAAGGAAACAGTAGAGAAGGAAGAAAGGAAGAAGGGAAAGAAAAAGAGGGAAGGAAGGAAAGAGGGAAAGAAAGAAAGAGAGAGAAAGAGGGAGGGAAGATTGGCCACAGCAACACGTGGCGGGTAGAGCTAGTCTTTTATAAAAAGTGAGACCATGCCAAATTCTTTAAGTTGAAGGCGCATTAAATAAATTCAAGCCGACCATCTTTCCCAAACAAGCTTGTCTTTAGCTATTTCCAGGAAGATTTGGAGATTCCTTTCGTGTTGCCTCCATTTCTCCGGATCACCCCGTCCTTAACGCAGCACCGCTTGGCTTCTCTCAACTTAATGACATCCCAAACTTTTTTGTTGAAAATAATTGATTGAATTTAAATTTCCTTAAAAGTTTAAGAGGTAATGTTACAGTATAAATTTCCTACCCAACACTAAGTAGGGAAATATCCATTAGTGAAATTAACTACAGTTTCTAGGTAGCTAACAATGTGGCGTATACAGTAGGGCATGGCTAATGAACACTGCAGTGGGTGATATTTCATTATACAAATTAATGCTCACATTTTAATGGGAAAGTCACATAATGAATCTCAGCTTCACTGACAGCAATTAGAGACACAGATTGTCCCCTTCTGGACAAGACACTGTTTAGCAATAAGCAGCTGTGTAAAAAGTCTTCAGGTTTGCAACATATATATATATGCTTTGGGGGAATTGGTGCACAGTTTATATTAATGTACTGAAGCTTCAGAGCTAAGAAGCATCCATATTTATTTCCCCCAGTATTAACTATGTAAAGTCGAGTAGAAAGACTAAATAAATATCCGAGCTAGGATTTAAATTCAATTATATAGCTTTGCAAAAATTAAAAAAAAAAATATTCTGTCTGTTGTGCATTAGAACAGAAGGTAATAGAAAGCCCGAATGCCAGAGTATGGGATAATTGTATACCTTTGCCTTTGTCTTTGCCTTGCATCTTTCTCCGGCACAATGGCAAGGGAGGAAAGGGATTCGGAATGCAACTGGTATTTCTGACAAACAGATGAACTTTGCGAGGAACATGTGCACGATCCAAAAATAATCCCACAGAACCTTTGATATTCCATTTGGTTTCAAAAGTGTGAAGTGAGTGATTAGAATGATAAAAGAAAGTACCGAGTAGGAAGAGGCATAATAATGAACTAATTAAACCGTGCTGCAGCTCTTTCTCAAATCTCCACTCTGCCATTGATAAAATTGGTTATCAATAACCCTTCCATTGATTAAATCGTCCTTTAAAAAAGTGAGCAGGACTTTTTCCGAAACTTAGTTCAGACAGAAACTCATCCATTTATTTCATTAGGGTTTTATAGACTCAAGGATTCTGGGTTTTGTTGCTTAGTGTCATTTCCAGAGAAAGTGTAGATTACACTTCAGAAATGGAAAAGATTTAAATACTCATTTCAGGGCTCAATCATAGAATCATAGAATCAAAGAGTTGGAAGAGACCTCATGGGCCATCCAGTCCAACCCCATTCTGCCAAGAAGCAGGAATATTGCATTCAAATCACCCCTGACAGATGGCCATCCAGCCTCTGTTTAAAAGCTTCCAAAGAAGAGCCTCCACCACACTCCGGGGCAGAGAGTTCCACTGCTGAACGGCTCTCACAGTCAGGAAGTTCTTCCTCATGTTCAGATGGAATCTCCTCTATTGTAGTCAATGATGGATAGAAACTAGGCTTGGGCGGTTTTGTTCGTTAATTTCGTAATTCGTTATTAATTCGTATTTAAATTAGCTTACGATCCAATATTGAGCCATGCAGGAATAGTGTGAGGAGTAAATTAGATTCGAAACAATTTTTTCAATTTATTTCGTTATTGTTTCGTTATTATTTCGAAATTATTTCGTAATTATTTCGTAATTATTTCGTAATTATTTTCGCATGTCTGGTGCAAGTTTTATAGTTGTTGTTTGTTTTATCACACCAACAGTCAACAACAGAGGGAGAGGGAAGCTTCAGAAGTTCCCCCTGTCCCATTTGGAGTTTTTTTTAGCATATTGCGCAATCGCGTCCGCCATTAACGAATCGATTCGTAATCATATGAAATTTTGTAAATTTCGAAATTTTTAAAAGGAAAATTTCGGAATTCTTTTAAAAAACGAAACACGATGGACCCTTAAAAACGAAACGAGTTTA